GGTGACACACACCGTGCTCGGCGGGTGATGCGCGGCAGTGCTCGGCGGGTGACACACACCTGTGTTCAGCGGGTGACACACACCTGTGCTCGGCGGGTGACACACACCCGTGTTCAGCGGGTGACACACACCGTGCTCCGCGGGTGATGCGCGGCAGTGCTCGGCGGGTGACACACACCCCTGCTCGGCGGGTGACACACACCCCTGCTCGGCGGGTGCGGGCGCCGCTGCGGCGGTGCCCCCCCCGCTGCGTGCGCGCTCCCCGCCGGCAGCCCCGCTCCCTCCCGCAGGCGACTACGAGGTGTCGGTGAAGTTCAACGACGAGCACATCCCCGACAGCCCCTTCGTGGTGACGGCGACGGCGCCGTGTGACGACGCCCGCCGCCTGACTGTTTCTAGCCTTCAGGTGAGACACCGGGAGAAACCCCCCCCGCCCGGTGACGGCCCCCGGCAGGGCCACGGGCCGGCCACGCGCAGGGCCCGGCTGCGGGGCTCCGAGAGACATCGGGGGGCTCTAGGGGTGTCTAGGGGGCTACAGGGGGTCTAGGGGTGTCTGGGGGGGCTACAGGCCTCCTGGGGGTGTCTAGGGGGACTACAGGGGGTCTAGGGGTGTCTAGGGGGGCTACAGGGGGTCTAGGGGTGTCTCTAGGGGGCTACAGGCCTTCCAGGGGTGTCTATAGGAGCTACAGGCGGTTCTAGAGGGGCTACAGGCCTCCCAGGGGTCTGCAGGGTGGTTCTAGAGGTGTCTATAGGGGCTACAGAGAGTTCTAGGGGTGTCTAGGGGGGGCTACAGGCCTCCCGGGGGTGTCCAGGGGGACTACAGGAGGTTCTGGGGGGTCTTCAGGCAGGTTTTGGGGTGTCTGGGGGCTTCTAGGTGTCTTCAGAGAGGTGTCTAGGGGGGCTACAGGCCTCCCAGGGGTCTTGGGGGAGGATTAGGGATGTCCATGGGGGGCTACAGGCCTCCCAGGGGTCTTGGGGGAGGATTAGGACTGCCCATGGGGGGCTACAGGCCTCCCGGGGGTCTTTGGGGAGCATTAGGACTGCCCATGGGGGGCTACAGGCCTCCCGGGGGTCTTTGGGGAGCATTAGGACTGCCCATGGGGGGCTACCGGTCTCCCAGGGGTCTTCAGGCAGGTTTTGGGGGGTCTTCAGGCAGCGGTAGGGGTGTCTGGGGGCTTCTCGAGGGCTTTGGAGAGGTGTCCGGGGGGCTGCAGGTCCCCGGGGCAGCTTTAGGGGTGTCTGGGGGGTGTCTAGGGGGTCTGCAGGGCAGGAGGGTCCCCCAGCTCGGGGGTGCAGGGGGTCCCTGCGCTGGCCCTGGCGCCCGTGTGTCCCTGGGGGTCCCGGGGGGTCTTTCTCTCGTGTCTCTTTTAAAGGCTATTAACAGCCCTGCCCCCCCCGCCCCAGCGTGGGGGGGCCCCAGGGGCTGCGCGCGGCTTAACGGGAGGGAGCGGCCCCCCCAGCCCCCCCGGGGACGCCCAGGGCCCCCCGCTCCCCCCCGGTAAACGCGCCTGCCCCACAGGTAAGTGGGACACCGGGGGGAGGGGTCACCCCCAAATCGGTGTTCGGGGGGGTCCTCAAACCCTCAAAACTCTCTTGTCAGTAGGGACCCCCCCCAAAGCTGGGAGGTCAGGTAAACCCAAGGCGATGGTTTTGGGGGGGTCACCCCCTACAATGGTATTTTGGGGGGTCTGTTCCCCTCCCCAGCGAGTTGTTCTGAGGAGGGGGGAGATTTTCCCTTGGGGGGGGCAGTCTTAGGGTGTAGACCCCCCCGGGTTTGTTGGGGTGCAAATGCACCCCCTTTTGGGGGGGAGGGAGCATTTTGGGGTGCCAGTGCCCCCCCCGGCTGCAGTCACACTTAGGGGTGTTAACCCCCCCCCCCAGAGTGGCAATTTGGGGGGGGTGCTAATCTCCCTCAAATGTGACCCCACCCTGGTTAATTTGGGGGGGATTAA